CTCTCTTTCATCTCTTTTCTATATTTCTTTTTGTGTCTCTCTCTCTCTCTCTCTCTCTCTCTCTCTCTCTCTCTCTCTTAGGTAGTGATGGGTAGACGCTCCATTAAGGTCTGCTCCTTAACAATATTTCCTATGTAGCTTTTAAGACTCTCGTGTCTTTCTCCTCTTTATTAGAAAAGAAGCATAGGCCATATAACTCTGCCACAACGGGTGAAATGAATATTTAAAACATTTACTTTTATCTGTCTATTTTTTGGTGGGAGTAAATAATAGCTGAGGCCTGTTCAACTTCTGTTTCTTCCTAGATCAAAGCAAGAGACGTTATAAACTGACACCACTGGCAACATGGATACCACAAGTATTTTGTTGGCTCTGACCATCGTTCTGGTCACAGTATACGTAATGTGGGGTTACCTGTCCACCAGAGGACTCCCACCCTCGCCATCTATCGCGCTGCCTGTTGTGGGACATTTGCTTTCCCTCAACCCGCAGGATCCTCGAAGTCAGATGCAAAAATGGAGAGAGAAAGTGGGGGATGTTTTCAGGTATTGTTATTCGTTTTTTTTTTCTTCCGTTTTGGACAGGAATTTGGAAGAGGGGCAAAAGTAGGATCAGGAGCTGATAGGGGCAGGAGTAGGAAACGCTTGAATATTACTAAATGTTTTGTTTAGTTTAAAAAGGATTACTGTGTGTATTTTGGAAGGTGTAAGTTCTGCGATTAATTCAGGGTTTTGTGTCAATAACTACATCTAAATTTATTTTTGTGTCCTCTAATGATGACGTAGTACAAGGTATGTCGAATTTCCTATTTCTAGACACTGAATCTAATTCAAAGAGGACTCATTTTCAGTTTTTAAAAAAGTGGTCGGTGCATGAAACCTGTTGTCCCTTTATGGATACAACAACAAAAAAAATCCCAAAGAAAACAACAACAATCAAACAACAACAAAAAATCGATGGAAATAATGAGTTTTAAACGCCATGCTTTTGAATCAGTTTAGATACTACTCCAATGAAAATTGGGCGTACCGAATAGCCCCCTTTTCTGAAGGAAAATTAGTTCTCTTTGAACTACGTTCTATGGTAAAGAATAAGAAACTCGAAAAACATTTTTAATAAACCACACTCTACAGTTGTGAATCTTTTCAGTAAGCCTGAACTCAACATGCACTCTATCTGATCCTGTAGCATGAATAATTATAGCCGTTTTAAGGTGATTATGATCAGATGTAGATGATAACACAACATCCTTTTTTTCTTTTTTTTTTAGAAAATGAAAAAATACCCGGCCACGACAAATTTCCTTTATTTCAGCTTGCAACTGGGCCCCATAGTGGTCATAGTACTCAATGGCTACGACGCAATCAAGGAGGCGTTTGTGAAAAGAGCAGACGATTTCTCAGACCGCCCTTTCGTTTACTTTGATTGGGTACGTTCACCCTTTTATTTTCTCGAATTTATCACAATAAATGAAAACCTTTTATGATTGGAAACTAGACAGGTACTTTTCCACCCTTTATTAAAAATCAAGCGGCCACCCCACTCCCCCCCCCCAACCCCCCCCCCCCCAAAACAACAAACAAACAACAAAAAACAACAAAAAACAAAAAACAAAAAACAAAAAACAAAACAAACAAAAACGAACCCCCCCCCCAAAAAAAAACAACCACACACACAAAAAACACCTCTTTCAAATTCTTTTCTTTCCTTGACATTCTCAGTAGTCCCCGGAGAAACAGCTATTTCTTTTGCATTTAGTTGATTTTCACTATCTTTAGTAGTTATCAAGGATCACATAAGGTTTCCCATTGCCTTTGCTAAAACCCTGGACACACGGTGTGCTGTTCTTGAATATATTATGTATACCATTCACTTGCTTACTTTTCTGCTGACCTCTTTTTCGTTCCGCCTCCGACATAACCGGACATTTCAGTTGTCACCGTTCTCAAATGGTTCATCAACTTAAGAAATGGCACGGTGTAAGTCTAAAGCACATGAACACTGTCCCTGTTTTCTAGAGGCGGCATCTCCAATCTTTCACACCCCCCTCCCTCTTCCAGTATGACCGACGCGGGAGAGAAGAGAATTTGCTCGCATGTTCCCTGAACAACTACAACAGTTCAAGAAGAAAGTCCTTTTATAGTTATTCGAACCAAGGTCATCTGCATTGTAGTATAGTGATATTATTTCAACAGAATATGACCATCCCAATTGGTAAATTCAAGTCATTATCGGCAGACTGTTTTGCCCAACGTCCCCCTTTGAAAAATATGTATTATTCCTCTCCTAACGACGGCGTGTACCCTAGACATAGTTTCGTTAGTATTCTTTGATATTCTTTCCCGATCAATTGTCGGTTTGTTCAAAAGTGTTTTTCATATAGCATGACCCCCACCCCCTCCCCGAACCATTTTTTCCTACTTCCCTTGACCCATTTTTTCATCCCCCCTCCCCCCCCCCCTTCCTGCCGGAGCCCAGTCGGATCAGCCTTATAAAATGAAAATGTTTTATTACACCATTCATTCACAACCCAACATATTGTTATGTCATTATCATTTTTGCTTCTGTTGAATCCTTTCTGCTTCAGTGGAAGATATCATTCTGTCTTTAATCCTTCTTTCACCAGGCAGCTAATTACCACGACTTGGGCATTATCATGTCATCAGGCCCAAACTGGAAACAGCAGCGATCCGTGTCTTTAAAAATTCTCCGAGATATGGGCATGGGCAAGAATGTTTTGGCAGAGACGACCCAGGACGAAGTGTCTCAGTATCTCGCGCGTCTCAGCAAGCTGAAAGAGAAACACGACATCCGCCTTCTAACAGGCGTCAGCGTAGCAAACGTGGTTTGTTCTGTGCTAGTGGGGCAGAGGTTTGACTACGATGATCCGACGTTTAAAAGAGTCGTAGAGCTGGTTCACTACAACTTATCACATCTGCTGGGTGTTGGGCCAACTCTCCTCAATATGTACCCTATTTTACACTACCTGCCTGGTGATATTTTCAACACCGATATTCTCATGAAAAATAGAAGAGAGATTGGTGAACTGTTTGTCCATCATTTCAAAGATCTTAAAGGTCATAAAGAATACAGCGAAACAAATATGGATAGCTTTATCGCTAACTATGTGTTTGAGAAAAATAAGAAGGAAAACAGTGGGCAGGCGACCTATCTTGATGAGAAAAATTTGGCGAAGGTCATAGAAGATCTTCTTGCAGCAGGAATTGAAACAACTAGTAATACCATCAGCTGGTTTCTCCTCTACATGTTGCACTACCCTAAAGTACAGGAAAAAATCTTCAAAGAGATCAAATCAGAAATAGGCACTGGGAGGTCCCCAACCATGCACGACAAAACCAAGCTGAAATATCTGAACGCTGCAATTATGGAAACTCAGAGAATCGGAAACATTGTCCCTATGGGTGTAACTCATATGTGTCCACGAGATATTACTTTCAGAGGGTTCAAGATACCAAAGGGAGCAAATGTTATTGGAAATATGACGTCAGTATTTTTCGACAAAACAGTTTGGGGGGAGGACGTGGATACTTTCCGGCCTGAACGTTTCCTTGACGATATTGGTGATCTAAAACACTTCGAAGAATTTATCCCATTTTCGATCGGCCGGAGAGCGTGTCTTGGGGAAGCCCTGGCGAAGATGGAATTGTTTCTGTACCTCTCGTCAATGTGTCAGCGATTCCAGTTTTTATCGCCAGACCCAGATGCCCCACCAAAGATAACTGAAGTTATGAGCATAACCAAATCACCTGGGCCTTTTGAAGTCAAAATTGTTGACCGACTGTCATAAATTAGCTAATAGTTTAAAGGCTGAGTTTCTGAACAAAATTTGGTAAGGAATGGTTATAGCGTAGTGCATGTAAGAATATTCTGCTTTTTCTTTTTAGCTAGGCTTACACTTTAGCCATTGCTGCAACGCAAGACAGAGTGAAGTGGAGGTCCATGATCGCCCACACCAATCGGCAAGGCACCGGATGATGATGACGACACTTTAGCACTTCCCCAATAAAACTAAAATCTCTTCCGCAAGCACACCCTTTCGTTTAAATAAAACAATATTTTAAATAATTCGGGCTTCACTTTGATTTGAATCTTGAATTTCTTGATTTAAAAAAGAATCACGAGTTTGTTACACGACAATGGCTCATACGAACAAAGGAGGTTTCTGGGATTGCCAAGAATCACAAGTCCCAACACTTCTCTAAAAATGTCAAATTCATACGGTTTTCATATTCTCTGATTTATAAGTATTAGTATGGTGTCATAAACAATTCAAAGAATAGCAATATGATCTTATACTGTTATCTTCCCGATAATAGTTACTAGCTATATTTACGACCACACGAAAAAAAAAAAACAGTTTAAAAACAACACACATATATTACATAATGACGCTGTATGAAAGAAAAAAAAATGTGTTGTAGTACATTGTTAAAGACTATTACAATATTATTACGTAAGGTGTAGACAGTCTTAAGTGTTGGCTGATCCTGGTTCTAAAGTTGTAACTTGGGAAGCAGTTCTGTGAACAAAGATAAAAAAATGAAGAAATATCATGTTTCGATTATAGGTATACCTATATCATTATGTATTGTAAGAAGGAGATTACAGTTTCAGAGCTATTCAGTTTTATTTAACTCTCACTTGTTAGTTTTCCCCCGTTATTAGGCTAATTAAAATTGTATACTTTGCACTGAGATGATTGTTCTATTTTGGGCTTGAGGTGAAACTCTTGTTTTGAGATGCATTTTTCTGTTGCATTTTTGGGTAAATGTTTACTTGAGCCCTCTCCTCCAGACCTGATTAATGGCTAAATCATTGTGAAACATGACCAAAAAAGTTGTGTCAACATTGTTATTATTATCATCATCATCATATTCATATTTTGACTGATTCATTATGTGAATCATCATTTTGTTTTTAGTGTTGTTATAATGAGTAAGAGAATTCGATCACAACATGATGGCTCTCTTTGGATGACACATTTTTACTGACGTTTTGTTATCGTTCTCTCGGGGCCTTTGCATTGATGAAGTCTGCACCATGAAGCTGTCTCCCCCTCTGATGGTCATGGGCAAGGGCTAGGAGACTTTGATGTTGTGTTTATTTTCATGCAGTGTGTCTTTGGCAATGATAGCCTGACGACGTACGTGACAGGCTTGTCTTTTTTTTTACTTGGTACGATCATGTAACAAGACCGTGTGGCCTATCCAAGACCATTCTCCAGGGAATTGTACCGATGAGGAAAAAGAGAGGAAGGCAAAGAATGAGGTGGGCAGACAAAATTGTAGAGTGGGGGGACAGGGAAATCCTTCGCCGAAACTCAGGCTCTCGCAAAAAACCGTGAAAACTGGAGGCACCTGACAAGGCTCTCTATCATACAACGCCCCTAGTATCCTCGTGAATTATGGAATCAGTAAGCGGTAAGGGGCCCTTGCCTTTTGGCAGCCACATTACGATTTCGAAAGTACACTATCTAAGTGGGGTAATAGTACAGATTGTAAAGCGCATAGAGCTTGATACTGAGCCAGAATATGTCACTACACATTTTAATGCTATTATATGATTATTACATAACGCAGACAGGAATTATGAGAGAGTTACACCTGTCCATTCAGAATAAACGGGGCATTTCACATGCCAAATATTAGATACAAGAAATGTGACAGTGTCATTCTTCTTTTTGGTAGTCTATAGGTTCGACAAAATATTTTTCGTTGTATGCCAATGTTTGTGGTACGATCTCCTTGAATAAAGCCATCTTCCAATCGGGCTAAGCAAAATCGGGAGTTAAGTCTTAAATATTCATCAAAAACAAACCAAGCTTAAGAAACACCATTGTAGTCCGGGATTTGAACCAGGGTCCAGCGTACTAAAGTACAGCATTATAACAAAGAAGCATCCAATGAATTTTTAAAGACACGATCTAAGGAAAGTAAATGAATTCTTTACTTTTATCAGCCGCTTATACCCTTTAGGGGGTCGCGGGAAGAAAGAGACGCCTCTCTGTCGCAAGTCGAAGAGCTCGGGTCAGGGGGATGCCGTGAGTTGTTAATGTTTCCCTGACTCCATCTATCCAGGTCTTTCTCGGTCGCCCTCTAGCCTTGTTGCCATCGAATTTTTTTATGTAGGTACCTTGTGCTGGATAGTGTGTTGGTAATCACATGACATGTCCGAACTTGATTCTTTGAGCAAATGAATTCAAATTCACTAAACTGTCGCATTAATATTTTCGCGTATTTTGACTCTCGCATTTTCCTCCTATTTTTCCAATCATATTGCATGTATTATTTGTAGTTGCTGCCATACAATATCTAGTGTAATAAGAAATAAACCGGTGCTTAATTTAAGTACATTGTATTCTCGGTTTTGTGACAGTCTCTCTCTCCCTCTATCTCTCTCACCCTCTCTCTCCCCCCCCCTCTCTCTCTCTATCTCTCTTTCTATCGATCTATCGATCCATCTATCGATCTATCTATCTATCTATCTATCTATCTATCTATCTATCTATCTATCTATCTATCTATCTATCGATCTATCTATCGATCTATCTATCTATCTATCTATCTATCTATCTATCTATCTATCTATCTATCTATC